ATTGATAATATATGAAAATGATAATATGTAGATTTATTCCATTTTATAAATGTGGATTTAATAAGAACGTTTATAAAAAGATTATTAACTGAAAAATGAACTGATTAATATTATTTACTGATTTAAGCTATGAATTAATAATTAAAGTTTGATAATGATATGGATTTTGTATTATTGTATGATGTGTTGTAATGTATATGTGTTGTAATTACAGGAAGCAATGGGCCACAAAGATTTTGTATAGAGAAATTCGGCAAAGATACCTGGCTACCAAGGTCACATACCTGTTTTAATAGACTAGATTTGCCACCTTACAAAAGTTACGACCAATTAGTAGAAAAACTGAATTACGCAATTGAAGAAACGGAAGGTTTTGGCCAAGAATAATCATGAACATATTAACTAATGATTAATGTGGTAGGTACACAGCATTTGTGTATGACTAATGGATGATAAAAACAAAATTTAACATAGTGTCGCAAACTGATGATAAACGATTCTATGCTATATTCGAAATCTGTTTGGGGCAGCTATAATTAACATTGTAAAAGTTGCAAATAATTGAAGATGTGTATAGATATATTGTTCCAAAAAATTTGTATGAAATATCGTAAATTATATGCAAATAATGTAATAATCTATATCACTCGATTATAATTTATTCCAACATATTTCATATTTTATCGACATTTTTAACCATAGACATTGAATAGAACGTTAATAAAACATGAAATTTATAATAAAATTAACAATAATATAAATATACACGTAAAGAAACTAGATAAAAATGTAAAATTTAATGTTTCTTTGTAGTATACAATATTTACACACACACACACACACACACACACACACACACACACACACACACACACACACACACACACATGCGCAGAGAAAGTTCCAAAATTTTTGAGAATAAAAATAATATAGCAAAGATTCTTGGAAAACTAAATAATAAAGGAAAAAAAAAAAAATATATATATATATATATATATGCCATTTCTTATTGCGAGCAGTAATTTTTAAGATAAAATTGTTCAATCAAGATCCAATCTACGAATTAAATAGTTGTTTGACCATGAACCGTGAATACATAATTTAATAATTATTCAGACATTGTGGAAAAAATATGTTATATATTTTTTGCATATACGTAAAAATGTTCAGTGTTAATCTGACACGTGTTATTTATTGTTTATTATCAGTAAATTAGATTGCATATTTAGATTGCATGACATTTAATGATATTTCAAAACACGGATAATCCGCAAATTTGCGTAGCTCTTTTCTGAAGAAAACATCCGTAGAAGCCTGAAAAAGAATTATAGTATTTTTAATATATTTTTTTCAAAGTTTCTGAAGTCAAAAACTTGAAATTCCAAATGACGGACATATAATCGACGTTAAAATGAATGAAAAATGCAAATGTTACTCAATTTTCATTGAATTTAGGTTTTTTTTTTTAATTGAAATGATTTTTTTTTAATATATAATATTTTATTACATGCATAATATTTTATTTCATAAATGCTATATTAATAAAAGCACATGTTAGGTACTTCGTCAGGTTCTCAGGTCATGTTAGGTACTTCTCTTTTCCGTAACTGACAATGAAGTTGTCAGTACATTGTCAAATAGTTATATAATTTTTTATTAGTCTCCTAAATTAACTATGGCGTTCACATAAGTGTCTGCATAACTGATAAAGTTAAATCGCAATTTGCCTGGTCTGTAGTTTCCGGTAGAGTTTTTAAAACTTTAGGATTATTTACTACATCACTTATATCTGTTAATGAATTTCTTCTTTTCCTTTTCTGAGCCTGACTATTCGGAGTATAATTTAAGTTTTCAATTTCACTTTTATTATTTGTAGTTGATGCTTTTGCTATTTGAAAATCAATTTTTTCAAAAGCATGTTCGTACAATACCACATAGTGTATGTAATATCAATCGTGAATTAACGTTCATGAATAAGTATAACAAAAGCAAATTTCTAGCTCATTACAGTCATATTGCTAGTAATGCCAAATTTTAAAAATTATTTAAATTACAATTTATTCCAATGTAATAATATATAGAACGTAAGTAGAACTCGAATAAATAATTGCAATCTAATTGTATATGTGCCATGATTTATTATACATATGTTAATATATATTTATTATAATTTCTTTTAATCTTTTTTAAAATTTATTCATTTTTTAACTTTAAGTCACTTTAAGCCACAAAATCTACTGCTCAAAATAAAAAAAAATGATGACATACTTTTATTATTTAATTTTTAAAGAACTTTCTTACTATTTTAATTCACATATTTTGGAATAACTTGTATATACAGAGTGTCTCAGAAAAAGGACAATCTCTCACGAGCATACAAATTGAATGAAAATAAACTATAATTCTATAATTTTTTTCTACGACATACCAATGCCGCGATATTCGTCTTCAACTTGAGATTTTTGGAAAGCATTTTTTTTAAATAACTCATACTTTCCGTATTGTATAGCTTGTAATAATTATTTTCATATTAGATAAACATTTTTAAAATGGTGCGAGAATTTTAATATTGTAAGATACGTAGGAAAAATAGAAGTACCGAGAGACGAGTAGTTGTGTGACTCAATGGCTATCTGAGAAAGGGAAAGACTTGGGTTCAAATCTCGACAGTATCCATAAGCGCCCTGATACTTTTCGTGTTATCACCTATAATACACAAAACTATTAATTAGTTTATTAAAGTTATCAACATTGAAAATTGCAATTGGTGCGTCATAGAAAAAAAGTTCATAGAAACTTATAGGGTTATTTTAATTTAAACTGTGCTAGTGAGAGGTTATCCATTTTTTCCGAGACACTCTGTATAATGTTTTATAGATGGCTAACAATTTTATGTTTTATACTAGGAAGTTTAGAACGGAAATGACTATAATTATATCAATATATAAAATATAGCGAATATTAATAATTATACTAATTTAGATACATTATGAATATTTGCTATATACAAACGGCCAATTTTATTGTAGAAAGAAATTTCTGGATATTTTTATTATCGGATATATATTCCTCACATTTTTGTATTGTCATTTATTAGAAGAGACTTATTGACACCCTGCATATTACCTCACAAATGAAATTACCTAAAAATATATTAAATATTTTTTGCTGTATTTATAACAATGAGGTAAGAAGGCATCAGAAATCCTGCGATTGTAAAATTGTGCATTTGTTTATAACTAATATTTTATGTATATAACATAATCTATGCAGTATGAACGCGCAATTATTTACATGTATTACTGCATAAAAAGATACATAATGTATTTAATATTATTTAAATATCCATAAGCTGCTTGGATTTATTAAGATTAATCAGGGTGAAACATTTATTTAAGTACCGAACAAGTAAAATAAAAATACATGCTTACAAAATGTTGAATATATTGCTATTACAGTAATATATTAATATTTATAATAGCATTTTGTTTTTTTATGTTCTCTTGTATAATATTAATTCATATAAATATATATTTATAGGTAATTTGAATTCAGTACTTTATCGTATGCATCTATTGTTTTTCTTAAATTTTTTTATTAAAAAAAGACAAAATTTCATGGAATTAAATTTAAAATTCGGAAAAAATGATGTAATTTGGAAACTATATGCACGATTATGAAAATTTTATGTATAAATTGAATTATATTTGTTGTTGCCTATACAAAGAATTGTGTGATCAATATTTTTATATTTAATATTATATTTCGCGCATGTTCAGAAAAGAATATTGTCTCAAAAACATTCACATATGTTAAAACAGTTAAAGTATAATTAAAAATAAATGCAAACGCGATACACATTACAATTAGCATTGGAACATATGAAATTCACGTAATGTAAAGGTCAACTCTTTAATAGCATACCACTTCTAACATTATATTTTTAAGCAAAACGATTTGGTTGTGTAAACTTAAAAATATTTTTGGCATAAATGATAAATTTTATTAGACACATGTATGTATATATTAAATGTGTATAGAATATATTCCATCAAATAAAGAAAACTTTACGGTTAAAAAATAAATACTATCATTGAAACTATTGTTGATTCAATTAATTTATTGATATTCGTATGTTACACACAGAAGGCATATTTTAATCTATTAAACAAAGACTATGACTTTATCTATCTCTTGCTATAATTTCGGATTGGGACCGAAAAACTTTTCCCAAGGAAAACGATTAAAAATCGACTTGGAGCTATCTATGTTGTCTTTTACAGAGGCTTTCCACTTTTGATTAAACTCTGTCAGTTCGCCTGTAATTGAAAAATTTATTTTATATTATTTGGTATTAAATTATAGCAAGAATAGGTATAAGATTAATTATTGTAAAATATATATTTTTGTATATATGTAAAAAATGTTCAGACGTCAAATGTATGTATACCTACATCTTTCCATTAACCAAAGAAAATCTATAATCTCTCTTAAAAATAAAAGTTGTTTGATATATTTTAAAATTAATAAAAAAAACGTTCAAGTTTTGACAGATTTAAAATTTGATGCTGTTCATCACTCATTGTCAGTAGATAATAATTAATGAAGTTAAATAAAAGTTGATATAAAAAAATTATCTTTTATAATTTATATAATTACAATAAAATTGGCTAATTTTGTTACTCACAATTAACTTTCAAATTAAACAAATAATTTAAAAATGAACAAAATATTAGAAACTATAATTTATATATTTTTATTTATAATTATTACAAATTTAGTGCATTCCTCATAAATACTTACTTTCATCCATGTTAAATAAATCTTCGGATTTTGTTTCAATGCCATTTTTATCTTTTTTTATAGTAACAACATATGTTTTGTTGTCTGCTTCTTTTGAAATGATTGTCTCCTCATTACCTTCACTATCTCTGATTACTTGCTTTTTCTCAATAGTTCCATCTGATCTACGTGTAATCTCCTTTCTAACAAATCTTCCAATCGAAAAATTATTTTGTACGGAAGGTTTTGTTATTTCCGTATTCCCTTTATTCCACATTTTTGAAAATTCTTCTGTAGAAACCCTATAAAATAAATTTTATACATGACGATGCAACATGCAATTGCATACTTTTTTGGAAAATCAACTACGTATTTCTTTCACACTATTTGATTCATTTCATTTTATTCTGTGCACACAAATATATTTAAGGATAATTATTTACTCTAAGGGACTCAGTTCTGATAACCTTAACATATATGTACCTATATGTTGTAAAGGTCAATCCTGAGTAATCTTTCAGGTTTTAGTCATCATTCGTTATTCGTTAAGTTATTAACAAATAAAGTTAATATAAATATGTTTAACTTTATACTTTGCCTGATATAAATACTTCTATATTTAGGTAAATACTTAGGTAAATGCTTGAGCGGGAGAAAGATGCCTTCTCTCCTCTCCCACTTGAAATAAATAACTTAATCTAAACCATATTTCAGTATCCATTTAAAAATATATATAATAATATAAAACTAAATATATGTATTTGAATTGAAATCTATGTTGCATAGAAAGTTGTAAATCCAAATCTATTTAATGCAAAAATAAAATATCGATTAGATTTTTTTTTAAGGCTGAAGCTGTTCCATAGGGGGGCGTAACTCATTACATCTATGCATACATTTTATAACGTAAAGCAAGGTTTCACATGGATTTAAATTATAAAGTTAAACACAACTTGTCACTGTCAACTTTATTTGTTAATAACTTTTACCCTAATAATTAGGGTAAAAGAATCAATTTAAAAAAAATAACTATTTTTTTTAGTGACACTCTTCATGCGACCTTAAATAATCGATTTTTTTTTTCGAATTGATTTAATCAATTTTATCATTTTGTCCCCCTTCAGACATACTTTTGTTTGAAATACTTTTCTTAAAAAGTTATTTACGATCCTCTTATTACAAAATAAATAAATCTATTAAGTCCTATTAAACACTTACATAAGATATATTGTAAGTAAAAGATTGAAAAAATAAAATTAGTTTTACCTTCCATCTAAGTCTGTGTCTACTTTGCTTTCAAGTGATTCATTTGCAAAGACAAATGCATCGGGCTTGGATTTTAATGCCCTGTCCCGTAAATTACCATCCTTCTGATCAGGTCCAGCAAATGGTACTGCTGTAATGGCTTTATCGTCTGCAAGAATTATTCTCTTACTTGGGATTCAGAATTTTTAACAAATTTTTATAAATTGAAAAATAATTTTTTATAATCAAAATAAAATTCTGTGCTTTATTATATCTGCACGCTTTATTTATAAATAAATGCAAAATGACAAATTTTCCATCAAATAAACATACCAAAAAAAGCATTATTAAATCCAAAAAAATTTTTTAATATATTATCTATCTGGGATTCAAAATAAAGCGTCATTTCAAGTGGATTGTTAAAGATGTTGAAGTGCAAACTGCTCTCAGGATGCCTAGAAAATATAAAAATTAGTATTAAAATTTATCGAAATGTCTCTGAATAAAAATATATTCTTCTCTTTACCGAAAGCTATCATCGTCATCATCATCTTCATCACTCTGCCAAATTGGATTTCGAAAACTTTCTCGATGTGAATTATAATCGTCAAATCTGAAAAGTATGTTGACATGATTGTAATCTAAAATTGCAGATGTGCAACCTCTGATAAAAAATTTCTTTAGAATGCTTCATTGCTATGTGCTTAATGCTATAATTGTTTCATGTATAAATTTTCTACATTTCAGAGTTTTTAACAATTTCTATACAATTTTATAACCCTTTAAAAAATGTCTGAGATTTCTTATACAAATTATTTTTTAGAAATACTAAGAAAATCTATATCTTTTATACAATTCTTTATATATATATATAAATCTAAATTTAAAGTATTTTAAGATTTCTCATTTTATAATTTTCAAAGGAAGCTTATAAAATCTAAAAAGACATAAGATTTTTTTAAAGAAATCTTCATAATTTTGAAATGTACCATTGTTTTAAATATGAGATATAATAAGAATTTTTTCACTAGAAACATACTTATATTGATCTTGAAAGTCATATACTTTTATTTTTAACTAGTGACTCCGTAACGACTTGACGTGCTTCAGCCAAAATATATGTATTTAATTTATTTATATAAGATAACTTTTTAATAATCCTTTTCATTTATTTATTTAAACTCTTATATTTGTGACTGTCGACATTTGACTGCATATGTATATACAAGATTTATAGGACACCTTATATATCTTGAATTAATTTACTAGCTTTTGTATTTATTCCCAAGAATATATTACTTTTCTTATTTCTTTTCCAATTTTTCTTATTCTTTTTTCAATTTTTCAAAAAAATTTATAAAGATGATGCAATGTTCGAATAAAGCGAACCATGTCCACCTCAAGGCATCATTGCGTCAAATCAGAATGTTCAATATTACAATTCAATATTACAATTCATATTACAATTATTGTTTTATTATTGTTTTGTTATTTTTATAACCCATACTTATATCACTTTATTTATCAGTGATATAATAAATTCTCTAATCTTTCTTCTTTAAATACATCATCTTTAGCATTAAACTGTTTTTAGAGTATTGAATGATGATATTTATTTTTCAAATCTGTTTTTACATAAAAAAATCAAATGATGTATTTTTATCAAAATATAAAATAAAAGATCTATAAACTTAATATCATATATATAATGTATATTAATATTTTTTATGAAACACACTTACCCGCTTGTACTAGGCTCATTTCGTTTCACACCGAGAAAATTTCGGAAAAAATCGAAGAATGACATCTCTAAAGCAATTAGAATTAGAATAACTATCGAACTAATGCAACAATTAGCAAATTAACGCAATTCCATGTTTTCAGTTAGCGTAATGAAAAACCATAGACGTACAAAGTACTTGGACGGAAGCATGGTATAAGAATAAGGGTACACAGTATAACCAGTAGGTCCACTCAGCGAAAAACTGAGTCTTCGCGCAGGTATCGCCGCGCAACTTTTGTTTTGGGTTGGATCCAATGAAATGCAAGACGATAGGAACAGATCGGAAGAGCACA